GTAGTCGTGTTATTGAGAACAGGCAGCATCGGCTGCGCTTGTAACGAATTTGTCGGTTGAATCCCCAATATTGACGGTTGGGTTTGCTGAGGCTGTTGGGGGTTGCTGTTGCCGAAGATGCTTATGCTCGGCTGCTGCTGTTGTGGTTGCTGTGATGAAGAGTCGACAAGGCATACTCCCGTTCCAAATTGTTGTTGCGGGTTCGGCGGTGCCACTGGCTGGCGTGTTATGTCGATCGGTCCCGTGCACGGGATAAATGTAAAGCCGTCAGACATGAGGTTTAAAAACTTGTTCCATGCTATAGTAGAGAAGACATGGATGATCTGTCAAAAGTTGGATTGTTGCGGTTCAAGGGAGATTCGAGTACAAAGTGGAATTCCAAGCTTCAATAAGGGCTTCTGTACTTTGACCGACTAGATCGATGCCGTCACTTTTCTTACAAGCATAAGGTTTTCAATACGCCTTTTGGGTAGCGCTCGATGCCAGCAACTATTGCGTGCGGGAACGGGTGCTCGTTCGATCCTTCATCGACCATCCAGCTGCTTGATAAGTACAACCTTCTTTCTGGCATCACGGCCTTCCGGACTATTGCGACCTAGTAATATCGTCGTAAGGCGTGTGTTACGCGACGGGGTATCGAACCTCATACCTTGCCGGGCTTGTACACTGTATGAAGAGTTAGTAGGTTGGTCGCTTTGAATGGAAGGCGGCGACGACGTACTTCGTACCATGTCAAACCATCCCCATCGCGAGCCCGCCTCACACACGCAGTGACGTTGACTTTGAGACCATTTCCTGCGAGTCCTGTGTTCGATCAGTGACAACTACGTCTTCTCATTGAATTCAGTCAATTATTGACCAACGATCGTTATCCCCCTGCATATTTCGCGGTGTGGGTTTGTGGACTGCCTTCGTCGACAACTTCAGGAACCTCGGGGGCAGGTGGAAGCTGCATAGACGATCCCTGAGGAGAGGCGACAGGTTTTGAGAGGGTGGACTGTGCTTGAGACAAGGGAGAAGAGGGCGGACGGCCCCATGATGAAGAATGGGAAAGTGAGGTTCACGGGAAAGGCGGGGGCGGAGTAGCACCTCTATGTCATAGAGTCCAGTGGCACTGCTTTCAGATGCTTAGGTACAACCCTGTGGATGAGGACGCCGCTGCTGTGGAAAGAAATTTGCTAAATAATACATGATGGAGAACTTAGAAGATATCCGATGAGCCTACCTTGCAGTTCAAGCGCGCACATGTATGTGAAAGAAAGTGCTTCGGCTAATATTGAGACCTGGGAGCGGCCAAACGCCCCGAGAAGGGTCAAGACGAGCGTACGCTCAATCCGTAAGGGGACGACGTTGAGGGTGTTTCGTAGCAGTGACCAGAGTTGGTGCAGTGACCACGAAGCCATCTATTTTTGGATCAGTGTTCTTTTCGCTGCGTTCTTCACCTCCGTTTTGTTCGAGCGCACAGATGGAAATTTTAATTTTGCGAGGGGAGAATGAAGCTACACCGTTTTCTCATCGGTTTCGCGCTAGTTGGCTTGACGCTCATCAACAGACGCCTTCCTGGTGAGTTCAAGTTGTCTCCACCGTTCATTGCTCACGAAACTTAGCAGTCCTTTAATTGCCCCCGTCATCTAGCGTCAAGCCTTCCCGCACATCAGGAAAAAAAGTAGTTGCGACATCGCACAACATAGTCCTGATAGCTACAGTAGCACCTTTGCAACCCCCCCTTTATATAGCACCCCATAGCATCACCATCAGTTTATATAGCACTATAATTACATATATAGCCTTACCTGCTCACGGCATAGCTCCCCATGGTATCATATTAAGGAAGTCCTGTAGTTGTACATAGACAGTATTGCACGAGATAGCACATATAGAAATCCCCTTAGAATGAATGCAGAATAGATATATATTTCAGTTTACAAACAGCATCTACGAAGGATTACTACATGATGCTAGTCAATAAGCAATGTCACCATCACCGCCTGTCTTCAAACTCTCCTCGTGCTCCCGGTGTTGTCCCGCGGCGCGGACACCACCTTTGAGCGCCCAGGTCACGTCCCGCCCTCCATTCCGGAACGATGCGACGACACTCCAGAAGCTGACGGCGATCAGGGCGCCTGTGATGGAGGCAGCAATGAACCCTGCGAGGGACTTGCGCGGTGTGAGGGGAAGGCGGAGGATGGGAAGGTGTGTTGGGAGCTTGCATGTGTTGAAGCCGTAGAGGTGGTCGAATGTAAACGCAGCTGTGTCGGCCCATGAAAGACTAGAATGAGGGAGGTTAGGCAGTGGGTAGGAGGGGTGAGGAGGGGGATACGTACATGAGGATGGCTACAGTTGTGACATCTTGTGGGTATAGCGAGAGGACAAAGACTAAAGTTGACTCCGAGGATCCACGCCGTTTGTTGAGTTCTGTGAAGGACTTAGCCTGAAATGTGATGACGGAGGAAGAAGCATGAGCTTACCTTTTCGCTTTCCCACATGAGAAGGAGAGGGTGTACATGTGTTGGGCGTTAGCGGTGACATGCAGGAACTGGGGGCGCTGCTCGTGACGGTGGTGTTCTCAAGTGCTTGTTTCGCGTGTTTTCGAGTTGACAGAAAGAAGGTGGCAAAGACGAACATCGTCGTTTTGGGGGGGAAAGCGTAGAGGGGTATGAATGGAGAGACACTGGGTGTCAGTTGAGGTTGTATGATGAGGTTGGGTGGGTGTGGTGGATTGATTATGTCGTATCAGTTGCAATGTCAACCGCGGTCGTCGACGGTGGCTCTCTGGGTGGCCACTGATCATCACGACATGATCGAGAGACATTTGTATATGTTGAACGAAAGCCACATGACTGCCGTTGTTGAAAGGGAGGGGTTGTAGGAGAGGCAACAGACGAAGACACGATTGTGGTTGGACTTTAGGCGATGTGTATGAGGCGGGATAGGTTGATTGAAAGCCGAACAAGGATTGTTGGAAAGGGGGGGTGACAGGCGAGCGGATAGGGCATTCTGATTCGAGCAGGTGATGGGGAAGAAAGGAAAGAACGAGACAGAGATGAAGATTTTTCAAAGATCTTCAACCATCATGTGACCGGATCGTGAGCCAATACAAATTACAACTCCGATTATCCGATGGTCGTGCGCAGTCGTGCGCGCGAATTTTTGTCCAAGTCACATAGTATGTTTGATCAACCCCCCGAACTTCGTACTAGCATGCCCGGCTCTCGAATTGCTTGTAGGCTCTCGAATTGCTTGTAGATACATTTTCTGTTTACTGCATCCCAAGCCATTAATTGATTGAGTATGAAAACCTAATAGTAAACTGTCTATGAGAGGCTTGTAGCACTGATAGCCACTGTAGTGCATGGCAGCAGCTACAGACCCGATGATAGATGTGGCGGCACATCTGTCAGCCCTATTGCACAACACGGTGGACCGACGGTCTACAGACAACAATCAGCACGATGCTGAGATCTGCCAAGCTATTGATGTCTACAACAGGTTCGATCGGCTACTGATTTAACCGGAGATCTACCGGCTAAAACTTTTTTTCCTGATGCATGGCATGGAGCATCCTCACCATCCTCCCATTCCTGAACTTTTGCATCGTCTCAACTCAAGACCCTAGATGCAACTTGCTGACACGCGACCTTGTGTTTGGAATTTGAACTTGGCCGGCAAGATGTCCTTTGGGGTTTGTTCGATCCGGATCTTGTCTTCTGACCTGAACGCGGACCTTTGTTTTGTCTCCAGTTGGCCTCGAAAGGTATCTTGAACAACCACCGGTAAGAATTTCGTCTGTTTTTACTACGAAGGATGCTCATACCTATTTTTCAATCAGGACTCGTTGCCTCGAACCTGTGATGAAAAATCGTCCTGCAGCCACGCTTAGTCTTCCGATGCCACAGAAAGTAATAGAATTGCAATTTATCGAACCGATATCGGGAAAGAATTGCTGGGTATGTATCTCTGCGCTCTATCCATACATATCTCCCAAATGATTCAAACCCGCCTCCAGACACCGTTTCCAAGTGAAAGACTCGCTGTTTGCAATATCTCCGGACGAAGGAAAGGTGATGGCATTTTACTTGTTTTGTAGCCTCCATTTGATTCCCATTGTCTCTACCAGTCTTCAAGGTGATCAAAGCCTCACGCGGGTGTTCCGAAACACGCACTCAGATACATGCTAATGATTTTAAAATTGCCGTATCTACGGGTTTCCATCTCCACCTTTGAAACCTTTCGGCCCAACCGGCTATAACTGGATGGGGCAGATAAAAAGCTTGATTGTACGAAGCTGCGTATCTTGTGTGTGTTCTTCATAATTATGGTCGATCCTATTTAATGCTCGTCTCAAAAGGCCAGCCACCCTCTCAGAATACACATTCCGATATCTCGCTCGCCCAGTGGCGTGATTTACAGCCTGAGAAGAAAGATTTGCGTCTATTGGTCTATGCGCCCGTGTTGGATGGGACCACTTCGACATCTGGAGGCGACTTGAACGCACGGTTCCTGGATGATTTTGTACTGTATTATTGAGGATCCACTTGCGGATATGGCAGTCTTGTCGAATAACAAATGTGACCCTAGAGTGACGAAGAAGTGGGCGCTTTATGACAATTTATGAAGTACGAATTCGTTCACGAAATGCTAACATCCATCCCAAATTGTTGGTCTCTTACGCGAGTAGCTCATTCAGTCCGCATCGGGAGCCCAAGTATATTTGATGAGATATATGTAGTGCACATGTTTGCTCTGGGGGATGAATTTGCTCACAAATCTACCCTGGAACCTCCACCGGTCGCTTGCACACAATATCGATTAACGGCTGTGCAACTTTCTCGGACCACTCCTTTGGTACTTGGTACGTTTCTGACCGGCGTTGTCGATAAAGTTGCATTACTTCCTTCCGAATGTATGTCGCAGTCTCGCTGCCCTGATCATACCATTTTATTATAGCTTCAAGTGTTTTCTCATCGTTGATATTGAATACGTAGACTTTCTCCATGATGAGTGCCGTGTCTTCGCATTGCCGTAGTTAGCCTATTGATACCCATTACAACCAAGAAAACATTCACTAACCTGCTACCCGCTGTTCCCACCTACAAAAGGCCAGCAAATCGGGGTCGGCATTCACCTCGGAGAAGTCGGATGATTGTCGGTGGCCTATGAGACGTCGGTTGTCATCCAAATGTTTTTCCAAGAGACGAATAAGCTTGTGGGAAGAAATCATATCAATAAACTTGGTACTACAGGGGATCGAATCGCTTACCTTGATGGGTGCTTGAGGCCCCGATGTAGGATCTGTCCAGAAGGTGTCCCAAGTCTTGATGAAAGGTCCGCCACGGAACATCTTCTCGGAGTGATTTTTATAATAGTTCCCTGAGGAAATGACGGTTTAAGATGAGGTCAGTTATATTTATTGAGCACCAACAATTTAATCCATTTCTAGCGAAGCAGGAGTCAACGTTCAATGAATAAAACACCCAGTGATGAAGGGGAATGATACTTACGCAGCAGACGTGGTGAGTTTAACTCTACTATCGGCACTTTGGGCGGAGGCGAAAAAATTGCGAAGGTCATAACCGCTTGGTGCTTGACGCTGCGTTTCTGTCAGAGACAATACTTTCAGTGATTCATCAATCAATCGGGCTAAGCGACTATCGTCCGGAGTCGACTTGTGCACTTCAAGTAATTTCTCGTCAAGCACGATGCAACTTTGCACACCAAGCTCTTTCACCTTCAGAAAGAGTCACAACGGCCCTTGGTGGATGCTTCATGCTCTCAAGGGGTTTCTTGTAGTGCTGGTCGAACCGTTTGTCTGCCTCGATAATGGCAAGCTTTTCGAGCTCGTCGTCATCAACTTCTTCGTCTTCTTCTTCAGCTTTTTCTTCCAATTTCTGCTGGATATCTTGTAAAAATGTGTCGAACTTGGTCACAATGGCCACAACCGGTACTATGGGAAACGTCACGTTTGAAGAGGAGTGATTCATCTTTGATCTTACCTGTCAAAGGCATCGAAAAAAAATCTTTCTCTGCTTGCTGGATGGGCCGAGAATTCATCTCCATGCAGTACCTACGGCAATTCGAATGAACTTGTCCACAACGAGTAAAAGGAGCAAGACGAACCACACCATATGCAATTTCTGATTTATGTCTTTTGCGCGTGAACGACTGTCGATGAATTTCCAAACAACCTCCACCTCTGCCTGCTTCCCCGCTTCAAATCCCTCGGAGTCATGCGCAATAATCTTGTTGTTCCCCTCGAATTCGATTTCTTTTTCAATATTATGGGTACCTCTCTGAAGACATCGCATTTGGTTTCTGCGTGGTACTACAAGTCGAACGACTTTGCACTCACCGTGGTGCTGGGCGCGTCCACCTCAAATGGCAAATATGAAATGTAAGCCTTGCGAGAGCCTGGTCACTCTCACCATATTCCCGCCACACACCTGGAACGCAAAGTTAGTGGCTTCATAAGATGGAAAAGCTGTTTGGAACTGCTAACTTTATACAGAATTGTGGTTTTACCGCACCCCGTTTTCCCGATGATCAACAACCTGAACTTTTTAAGCGGAGGGGGCGCCACGGCGACGGCTGCTGCCAGTAATCTCTTCATTTCTTGCTGTTCAGAGGCATCTAGTTGAGGCGCTTTTTCAGATTCCACATCTTCATCTTTCGACGATGACTTTAACAGTCCCTTAAGTTTATCGAACCTCTTTGGAGGGGGTTTTGGACGGGGGCGCAATGCCTCGCGAGTTGCAATTTGAAACACTTCGCGAACCCCCTCCCCAGTCCTGCTAGAGCACTCAACATAGTGCCTTGCTCCGATTTTCTTGGCAACTTGCTGTCCCTGGTATGAAATGGTAGTGGAGGAGAGTACCTCTTCCAAGTTTAGCTCAACCTACCTCTTCAACGGTCACTGGACGTTGATTCGTCCTCCGTAGTTCGTCAATGGTTCTCGGATCTCTTCTCAGGTCTTTTTTCGCACCTACAAGGATGATGGGGAGTCCATGACAGAAGTGCATGACCTCATGAATCCACTGCGATAATCGAAAAGTAAATATTAGCACCTATATATTGAGGAGCTGGCTACGTACCTTCTCTTCGACGTTGTCCAAGGAAACGGGATTAGCAATGTCAAAGCATATAAGAATAACGTGCGCGTCGGGGTATGCCAGAGGACGCAAGCGATCATAGTCTTCCTGACCAGCCGTACACCGTACCGCCAACTCGACATGCTTCCCATCCACCTCAACGTCGGCGACGTAATCTTCAAAAGGCATTGAGATTAATATCTGTTCACGAGTGTTATCTGTGACGCTCCAATCAATTAATATCCACATACCTCTGGGAAGGTTCCCTTCGAGAATGTAACGAGCAACGCCGTCTGCGACATACCGTAGTCAGTGTCATTTGTGCAATCCGCATTATGATATGTCCGGACAAACCTTCCCTGCATTACCGTCACCTACGGCGACGAGTTGTCGGCGGATCTCAGCCATCGCGTCTTAAGATCCTCGACCGTTCGCGGTAGTGATAATGCCAAAGTTGCTTGCAGCCACGTTCAGATTGGGTGTGGATTGGGTCGCTCGGAAAGACCCGACAGCACCCACGTGTTGGACAAGAGTGGTGAAATAGTCGACGTCGTTACTTTTTGTCCTCTGAAAGGTTCCGTTATATTTTGACGTCTGCCTGGCCATATATTTGCTTCAAAGTTCAAATTGATCGACAGCACCTGTTCACGATATCAGTAAGCTTTACGCACGAAAAATGCTCCACTTCGGACTCACGCGCTCGGACGAAGGACGAGGGAATGCACACTCAGCATATACATCTGTCAAACGAGAGGTTTTGAGTGGGCCTTCTCATAACAAGTTTGATGGTGCAAGCGATGGTCAAGAGAGAGATGGTTGTGAGTCGGAGATGAATTCGCGTGACGCTCCAGCAAAACAATCTTGACACTTGCTACATATATCTTCAACAGGAATTACAATCCCAACACTGAGATCGCTACCGGTGTTATTTACAGTGTAATATATATCACAGTATATCACACACAGAGGACGAGTGCTAGGCCCAAACCCAAATACGCAATGAAAACCATCTCATCAACGCAACGCACTCTCCCGCAAGGTATTCGTCGAACTCCAAAGATTACTCCAAAGCTTCTCCCCCTCAACCCCCTCATCTCCATTCATCCCACCACCAGCACCACCAGCACCAGGTGCCGCAGTCCCCATAATAACTGCCAAATCTCTCTGGCACTTTTGTAAAATCTTGGTAAGGTGCGCCAGCCCCGCCTGCTGCTCCGAAAGGATCTAAGTAAAAAAAAACCACAACGTCAACCAACCTCAACGTCAAAAAAGAAAGGAAAAAAAGAAAACAGAAAACCGAGCGAAAAACCCACCTGCGCAATCTGCCCCAACCCCTCATCATCAACAACGGCCCACTCCGCCGTTCCCCCTCGTCCCCTCTCAATACTCGCATTAACAGCCCCAAGCAACGCCCAAAGCTCATTCAACCGTCCTTTAACCCGTCCCTTCCTAATCTCATCCTCAATCTCCTCCAACTTACCCCTCATCTCCTCCTCCTCCGGCCTGATCGCCGACGACCTAACCGACGGAATCAACAAATGCAAATGCTGCACGAAGCCCAACAATCGATGCACGATCTGTGTTTGTTTTGCGGATGCGCGGAGGAGGCGGGTGGAGTTTTGGATGGCGTGTGCGGAGGAGAGGGCTTCGAGGCGCGATTTGAGGTCTGTTAGTTTTTTGGTGTGGGTTGTTGATTGTTGGTTTTGGGCTTCGACGCGATCGCGTAGGTCGTCGAACCCGATGGCTATTACGGGTACCATGCTGTAGATAAATTAAGTTAGGATTTTCGTTCTTAGAGGCGTAAAGAAGGAAGGAAGGAAAGGAGAGACTGACCAGGAAGGATCAGGGTTTTCTCGCAATGCCTTTTCCCAAAGGGCGTCATTAGTAGCATTTGGCGGGCGGCCATACAAGTTGACTTGGTTCGGATCCACGAGATTGTAAAAGTTGTGCTGTCAACTCACCCTCAGTATCTAAAAAAAAAAAAAAAAAACCAACAAAAAACGCGTACCTGAAACCGACACTGAGGAGAAGCAGAGTTCCACGCATTATATATCCCTTCAAACCTAGCAGTGATATTCGCATGCTGACTCGCAGGATCATTTTGCTGCGCTCCTCCCAACCCTCCAAGCGATCTAGACGAAAGAAGGCTCCCAGTAGGCTGTAGTGGCTGCTGCCCCCCGCCGCCAAAAGCGCTGGTTCCAAGGGTACTACCCCCAAAGAAATTTTTACCGCCGCCCAACAGCGGATTCGTGTTAGTGCTACCCCCGAATAAATTGGATTGCTGCTGCTGCTGGCCACCCCCGAACAAGTTGCTAGTACCCGTCGGGGCGGTCGTCGTCGTCGTACTCCCAAACAAGCCTCCACCACCCGGTTTCGCCTGGCTACCTCCAAATAAGCCGCCACCGCCAGTTGTACCCTGGCCAGCCGTCGTCGTACCACCGCCGAACAACCCCCCGCCTGTATTCGTATTGGTAGGTTGGGTGTTCCCAAATAGACCCCCGCCGCTGGGTTGAGTGGTGGTCGTTGTGCTCCCAAAAAGACCGCCAGCCGGAGCTGGCTGTGAGCTCGTCGTCCTGCCGAAAAGACCACCCCCACCCGCAGCTGGTTGCTGGGTTGTGGACGTACTGCCGAACATGCCCCCACCTGTAGCTGGCTGTTGCGTGGTTGTAGAGCCTCCAAAAAGACCGCCGCCACCCGCAGCTGGCTGTTGCGTGCTCCCAAAGAGACCTCCACCTGCAGCTGGTTGTTGCGTCGTACTCCCAAAAAGACCGCCACCTGCAGCTGGCTGTTGTGCCGTTGTAGAGCCTCCAAAAAGTCCTCCACCTGCAGCTGGTTGTTGCGCTGTAGTACTCCCAAAGAGACCA